CTCCCTCCCTCCCTCCCTCTCCCCTCTGTCCCTCCTTCCCTCTTCCTTCCTTTCTTCCTTTCTTTCTTTGGTTTTTCAAGACAGGGTTTCTCTGTGTTGCCCTGGCTTTCCTGGAACTCCCTCTGTAGGCCAGGCTGGCCTCGAACTCAGAAATCCTCCTGCCTCTACCTCCCACATGTTGGGATTAAAGGCGTGCACCACCACTGCCCAGCTGGAGCTGTGTTCTAAGGAAAGTCCCAGCTAGCCTCCATCAGGTGGCTTGTGCAAAGATTTCAGAGAAGGTGGCCAGGCAGGCTTTATTTAGTCTTGAAGGAACAAGTCTTATGGTCCCTCCTCTAGTGAGGGGCTTGAGGTCTAAGGATGCTGGGGCAGCATGGCAGAAAACACCCCAGATGTGGTTGATGCTTATCAAGCTGTGAGCCCTCAGTCAGCTGGGATAGGGGTCCCCCCCGCCTTTAAGACCTGGCACCACATCCCCCCTTCACTGGATGTCCTTGGGCACTTTGGAAGCTGGAGCCTAATGCCCTCTTGATGAAGTTAAAGGATTGTTCTGGGAAGGTCCCTGGTCTCTGGGGCTGTGCTGTGAGGCCTTAGGGCCTCGCTTCTTTTAAGTCCGGGTGATTAGAAAGCAGAAGCATGAGGGACCTGGGCAAGTTTTTCACTTGCCAGCACCTGGTTTCTTATCTATTAAAACGGGCTCTAATCCAGTCCATGCGGCTGACCTGCAGAAGGGACTGTGCCCTCTGCTCAGCTCAATCAGCAGTGGCTTTTATCATAGACACCACTTGCCTGAGGCTTGGAGTAGTAGGACAACCCCCTCTTCCTTGCAGGAGAGTGATTGGATAATGGCCTGGCCAGGTGACACTCTGGTTTGAACTTGGGGGAACTCTAGAATGCATGGGGCGGCACAAGTGGGATTCCTGGGAGTTTACCATCTCCTTTTCTGCTGTCATGGAGGCAGTGCTGAAAATTTAGCATTCATAACATGTTCTTGGGTGTGGGGGGGAGAATGTAGCCATTTCCTGGCCAGACAGAGGTAGCAGAGCGGCTGCAATCCTTGCATTCCCGAGGCAGGTGCTACTTACTATAAACCAGTGTTTGTTTCTGTCTGATAACCACGGGCCTGTCTGGAAGAATGGGGCTCCCCTGCTGGAGTGGCTCATCAGTTGCTCTTCATGTAGGGCACCCCAAGGCTCAGTGAAGAAGGTTGTACTTGCCTTGCAGTCAGGGGTTGGGTCAGGCTAGAGGACTGTAGTTAAAACCAAACCAAATTCCCTCCTGACAACCTGTGTTCAGGGCCTCCTGAGGCCCACCCGGTCCCCACCACAGAGGTTGTGGTGGGGGCTCAGAGCACCCACCTGCTGGTCTGTGGCCATGGTCTTTTTTAGGCCTGGGTTTATCTAGGCAGTCTTGAAGTTTTCTGGATCACCAGACTATGGACATCTTTGGTGGTTGGGGACTGTGACACTTTTGCCTATAGCTCCTCTTGGGACTGGCTGACATTTTTCTATTGGGAGAAGTCCCTCCTTCCCCACCTACCCCAGGGAGATAGAGGCAGGGGTTGCTCTTCTGTTCCCTGGAGTGGAGTGTGAGACCACATTTTTGAGCTTAGGGACGGGGGTTGCAGTGCCTCTGGGGACATGGTGACTTCCTGAACAGAGCCTGGGGGCTAATTTTAGTAAGGAACCTTCTGCAAGTATTGATTCCTGTTGAAGCTCCCTTAGGGTGGCCATGTCCCATTTCTAGGTGATTCTTTAATGTTGTGTCTTTTGTTTGCTTTTGGATACTTGTTCTTATAGCTGGGCTGGCTTGGAACTCAGTATGTATAAACCAGGCTGGACTTGAAACAATCCTCCTGCCTCAGCCTGCCAAGTGCTGGGCTTCCAGGCCTGCCCTACCATACCCACTTGACCTCTGGGTGTCTCTGCAGAGGTAACTTTGTTCTTTCATGAGCTACCTGGGTGGGTGTGACCACTGTCCCCATTTCACAGTTCAGGTTGGAGGTATCTGGACAGCATAGTCCAACTCAGATGCGCTGCCCAGGCTGGCCCAGCACTCCACCAAAGCTTCCTGAGCAAGACCCCTGGGTAGAAGCCTGTCACATGGTTCCATGCTTACAGCTCTCAGGACAAGACCCTCCTTGGCTTTTACTGTCCCGAGTTGCTGTCTCTCCCGCTTTCTGACGTAGCGAAACCTCCTGGGCTGGCCCTTGACCCCTGACCCCTGGCCCCACGCCCTACATGCTGAGCTCATACTTGGCAGACCGTGTTCACACCTAAGGCACCCATTGTACTTCACACGCCCGCCGGGCACCTGGCACCCTTTGCACCCATGTTAACCATTAATGTAGCCAAGCTGGTAGCCACAGCAGAGTCTGACTGAGCCTTGTCCCCAGCACTCTGAAGCAGCTACCTGGTCTGGTACTCTGGTGTATGGCTGACCGTTGCTTGGGTCCTTTTGTCTCCTTGGGAGAACAATGGGGAGTGTTCCCCTGCCCAAACTCTCCCAGTCACTCTGGGTGGACTGTGCATTGCCCCCATCATTGAATAGCACAAGGCTGCTGCCGCTACCTCTAGTCTACCCTGGGTGGGTTCAGCACCGCTGTAGCCTCAGTTTCCCTAATGTATGGTGAGACTCGAGGTAGAGATCCCTTAGGGCTGTTCTGGGAGTTGGACTTGGCGCTGGCTGTATGCAGCTCTGCAGCGCTGGGAAGGTGGCTGCTCTCTGGCACATGTTCCAGGTGGCATCAGGATTGGGAGAAGCCGCCAACCACGTGACCCTGCGGTCACTTCGGGAGAGGGCTTGTTGTGCCTGTTTTTTCCTTTCTATCCATGGAGGTGACAATCCTGCCTCCTCACTGGCTGTCTGGACTCTGAGGGAGGTGACCCGGAGGGTTCCCTGGAGGATTCCCAATATGACGTCATGCCGGAATAAGGCAGAGTACGTGCCTCCAAGCTGCCTCCTGGTGCAGCAGTTGATGCGGGCTGGTGGTGGGTTAAGGGACTGCTGGATGGACATGGTGGGGTAGGGGTGTGGAGATGCAGTCCTCTGTTGGGAGCTGTGTGCACCACTCACATGCATGTCTGTGTGGGGGTGGAGTTGGCACACTCATGGCGTGGTGCTGCCGAGAATGAGGCCGTAGTGCTCAGTATCTGGCCAGGACTATGGATGGATTTGCCTGGGGTTCTAGAGTCTGGTATGAACTTTCTGTACCACCTGGAGGTGTGTTGCTGGGTTGGTGTGTCTCTCAGAGACCACGAGTTGGGAGAGTCTCCTCCCTCAGCAAGCTTTGTAGCCAAACTGCTGTTTCTAGCCAAGGCTCCGTTTTCTTACTAACAGCGCAGATACTGGAGTAAAGTAGTACGGTGTTCCGCCGTTCCGCCATCTTTTGTCCAGCTTGCCCTTTCTTTGCTGATGCCCTGCGATCTTTTGGGCAATTATGACTCTCATGTAATCCAAGCTGGCCTCAACACTCTGTTGCCAAAGATAACCTTCAGTTCCCGGTCCTCCTGCCTCCACGTCCTGAGTCCTGGGATTATAGGCTTGGGCCACCACGTTCTTTCAGTTTATATGGGGATGGAACTTGGCTTTGTGGAGAAGCACTCTGGTAACTGAGCCACATCCCTTGCTGTGTAGTCCAGGCCAGCCTTGAGCTTCTGGGTGCTGGGATGGCAGCTGTAGGCCTAGCGTAGGGGTTTATTTTATGGAATCAGACCTGAGCTCAAGGGAAGATTCCTTGGGAAGGTTAGATATCTGAGTCCTGGTTTGGGGTGTGCCAGGCTGGTTTCCCCCTTGGGCACACCGTGTTGACACTGGCTTTTTATTTCTTTGGCAGGTGGCCAAAGTGGAGTATGTCAGGAAGAAGCCAAAATTGAAAGAGGTCCAGGTGAGGTTAGAGGAACACCTGGAGTGTGCATGTGCGACCTCCAACCTGAACCCAGACCATCGGGAGGAGGAGACGGGTGAGTGGCCAGCACTGTCTGTCTGCTGTGTGGGGGTCCTCAGGGGTGTGGGATCTGTTGCTTGAGTGAATGAGTCAGTGGGCCTGGATTTCCCAGCAGTCCACACTGGCCTGCAGAACCAAGAGTCAGGGAAACTGTGCCTGTAGGTGTCACATTCAAGTGGGACCGTAGACACTGGATTCGGGCTGTACCCTGCTGCCGCCCAGGGTCTTGACTTTTCTCCTGCCCAGCACACCTTGTTCACCGCCAGCATTCAGCCAGCCCAGGTGCAGAGACAGACCCGGAAGTGTCTGCACCAGGGCGGATCAGGCTTTCCTTCTGAAAGATAAACAGCTTCAGTGTTTATTGCTGTGGCTTCCCACCCCAGGCCCTCCGGTGGCCACTCACCTTCCCTGCCCTTTCCTTGACAGGAAGGCGTAGGGAATCAGGTAAAAAGCGGAAAAGAAAAAGGTTAAAACCCACCTAAGGCGGCCGACCAGGTAGGCCCTGCCCGCCGGGTGAGCTGGGGGACTCCCTTGCAGAGAGCTGGGTCACAATCAGACCAGCGAACCCCGCTTCCATGGGCCCTGATTGGCTCAAGGTTCTGTGTGCTTCCGGGACTGCTGGCCGGGTCTCCTCGCAGCTACAGCTTTGCCCCTGTCTTGGTTGTTGTTCAGGCGAGAGCGCCTCATGGCGGGAAAGGTGGGGGCTTCTGGTGGTTCTGCTGGAGTTGTCTGGGGAGGCTTCCCCTGCGCTGACCAAGGAGAGGACATACTTTTACAGATGGTGAGGCTTGAGGAGGTTGAAGAGCTAAGGGGCCAGGGCAGTCGGCTTTTGTAACCAGCAGCGACATCAGGAAAGGAGGTAGCGATCAGTGTAGGGCCAGGAGGGGTGGTCCTTTGTACTTGGTGCTGTGGAATTCTATCCTTAAAATTACCCTCAGGACCCATGGTGGCAGCCCCAAGGTGGAAGAGTCCGGGCAGGTAAAGGAGGCCTGTACAGCCTCTTAGGAATGCTTGTTCCGAACCCACCCTGTGATGGCTGTTTTTCCCCGGAAGTGCAGGGAATGTAGGTGGGGCAATGTCATTTCGCAGACCTGTCCTGAGTGTCAGCTTGTCTGGCTCAGAGGGCTGGAGCCTGTCTGGCTGAGCCCTTCCTCCTGGCACACGGGACTAAGGGGCATCCAAGACAAACAGTTATTCTGGGCAAGAGAGTCCTCAGAGATAGGGTGTCTGAGAGCCTGGCTCCCATACGAGTGTGGCTGGGATGCCTGTCTCGGGCATGTGTCTCCTCGGACAGGGCCTTGGGGTTGCTCCATGTGGCTCTGACGGGCCTGCTGCTGACAGGGACCCCCTTCCAGTGAGAGGCAGGTGTCTCAGTGACAACCTGGCACTCCTTGCTTCATTATGGAACTGGGAGGTAGACCTGTGTGATAGCTAATATTTGATCACCAGCACCAGAATAGCCACACAAAGTCATTGCTCTGATTGGTCACAGAGAGCCACATATGGGGTGGCTGGTGGCATCTGTTCTCCCGGATACTTCATGGCCCAAACTGCCAACCTTCAACAAGTACAGGCCTTAGTCTGGAAGAAAGAAAGCTAGGGGAAAGGCCAAAAAGAACTTTCTATGCCTCAGTTTCTCCATCTGTGCAATGGGAGCATGGGTTCTTCTATGAAATGCAACCAGCTTCGTACCAATCCTTAAGTTGGGAAGATTTGATTAATCTTAAGCTGTGGAAATTTTGTTTTTGTTTTTTTAAATTACATATGTCAACCTCATATCTTAAGACATAAGTTGTATGGGGCCAAGTAGCTCTGGTGTTTTCTGTCTGTGGTCATAGCCTCAACTTTTCCTGCCTTCCCACAGATGTGAGGTGAGATGAGCCGGCCGCCCTCTCCCGGGACACGGATGTACGTGGCGTGTGACATTCCTGAACATACTATGTATGGTGCTTCATTGCCAATGTGCGTGCGGTCTTTGTTCTCCTCCGTGAAAAACTGTGTCCGAGGACAAAGAGACAGTGTCCGTTTGTTCAGTGTGACATCAAAGCAAGTACTGTAGCACTCGGAGGGACAGTGAGAAAGCTTCCTTGTCACAGAGAGCGAAAACAAAACCACAAAAAAGAAAAAAACAAAAAAAAAAACAAAAAAAAAATTAAAAAAAAAAAAACAAACAACAAACCACAACCCAACAACAAAAAACCCCACCAGAAGAAACAGAGGCTGAAGCAGGCAGTGGAAGGACCGCCCTGCAGGACTGACCCTCGAGTGGGGGCTGAAGTTGGCCACCACCCTCGATTCTGCCCGTGGGCACAGGTGCTTTTCGCCGAGGACGCCTGGAGCTGCCTGGGATGCTGCCTGCCAGCTCTGCCAGGCACAGGAGCTGAGCAACTGGGGGATGGATGCCCACGGGCCTGGATGCCACCACCTCGCTTGAGTCTGCCTAGGACCTTCCTGATGGCCTTACGTGGAATTTCTTTTTCCTTTTCCTTTTTATTTTATTTTATTTTATTTACACCATGAAGTGATTTAGCTTCTCCTTTTTATTCTCTGCCTAGCTTTTTTTTTTTTTTTATCTCTTGGATGACATTTTCGTTGATAACACACACGAGGCTGCTGTAAGTTGGGACAGCGAGACGGTTATTTTTTTCCTAGCCAAACTAATGAGGTGTATTAAAATAAACATGATATACCTACCTATACATCATTTCTGATGCGCTTCTGCCTTCCTGTGTTGCTCAGCCCCCTTTAGCTTAAGTCATATGAGGGAACTATGGGGGTCATTCAGTTGTGGGTCCCCCCTCTCCCCCAGGGACTGCCCCCCATTGCTAAATGGCTTTTATGGCGGCATGGAGACATGACTGAGATTATTTTATAGTAAGCTGTTGGGTTTCACTGTTAATCAGAATTGTGTGTGTGTGGTTTTCTTGTTTTGTTTTGGTTTTGTAAAGGTGAACTTTGTATTTTTAATATTATCAGTTTATATACCTGAGAGCCTGCTATATATATTTTTTTTTATTTTGAACTAAAAGGAGAAAAAAAATTCAACAAACTTAAATGCACATCGGATGCATCCTGTGGTCCTGTTTGTCTGGTTGCTTCCTGGAGTCGCTCCATCACGTGGTTGATTTGAGGGTGTGAAAACTTGGGGATTGGAGAATGGGGGCTGCCAAAGTGACAGACTCTGCCCTGGGCTGGGCTGCGGAATGGAATGGGGACAGAGCAGAGGGGGCAATGGTCATGCCAGCAAGTTTGAGAACACCGTCTCCGGAGCCAGATGCCAATGAGTGCCAGCCAGCCGTGAGCTGGGTGTTGGACACTGGATGTGTCTACATGGGCAGCTTGTGGCTCAGTGGCCATCAGAGGTCCCTGTTGTCCATAGGCTGTGCTTTCTCCTGGAAAGGGTGGATGCTCTTCCAGAATGGCATGGCTCAGAGGCTGGAGGGCTGCAATGCAGGCCAGGCCTTTACTCTCCTGGCCGATCTACGGGAAGCCACTTGGTCCAGTGTTATGTTCCTTAAATCAGGAGAGCCAGAAGCCTGGTGCTCGTGGGAAATTCCACATGCTATGAGGCCTAGCAGCCCAGACACCCGGGAACTGGCCCATAGGCCTGTTTCGTGGCATCTATTCAATCCCACAAGACAGGGGCCCTGGATCTGGCCCCCACCCCGTTTCCATACACATCCCAGTGAGCTGTGCTGCTTTGGTGAGTTAATGGCCTGCTTTTTTACATGTTGGCCCTAGTGGGGCATTGCTGCTATTGTTTGTCTCTCCCCCAGCACCACCTGTGTGTGGGCTGAGAGCACGGGAGCTCTGAGAGTCCCTCAGCTTCCTATTTTCCTGCTGTTAACTTGTTTGATCCTGTTGCCTTGAGAGTTCCCATGACCTTGAGTGTTGACCTTGATGGTGTTTCCTCTTGTGACCTTAGCTTTCTTTCTGTGAACCCGGTGACTAAATTTTCCTCTGTTAACTTGATCTTTTCCTAGTGACCTTGAGCTCTGATTTTTGACCTTGAGTGGTGCGTTCTGCTTTTCTGTCATGACCTTGGGATTTCTTCCTGGGTGCCTGTGACTTTGAGACTTCTTTCTGTGACCTTGAACTTTGCTCCTTTGAACCTGTGACCTTGAACATTCTTTTTGAAGTCCATGACCTTGAGCTTTCCTCCTGACACCTGGCCTTCTGGATTCTTCCTGTGACCTAGGAATTTCTTCTTCTGGCCTTGAGGTTTCTTCTGGATCTGTGACCTTACATGTTCTCTCCAAAGCTCGTGACCTTGGCATTTACTCCTGAGACCTTTCCACCTTTGCTGTGCTCTTGGTGTTTCTTCCTGAGTTGTGACCTTGACGATTTCTCCTGTGACCTTGGGGTTCTCTCTGAAGCCTAAAACCTTGAGCTTTGTGTCATGATCTTTAGGTTCCCTCCCTTGAGTCCTGTGGTCTTTTTCTGCCCCCACCATATATGTAAGGCAGACCCGATGGCTCCAGATAATCTCTGGTGTCTTCTGTGTCTTTGGGGTGAGCTCTTCCATGGAGACAGTCACTACATTTGCCTGGAGGCCCCACATTTTGTTGTGACTAAAGCTGGGTTTGTGAGCTGTCCTTCCCTTGCTGGAGTCCTCTCTTGGGGCTTCTTCTCCCTGGTCCCTTTCTGTGGCTGGGACGGACTGTGCTGACATAGCAGCTGCCTTCAGCTAGCCAGACCCAGCTCTTGGCAGCAGCAGCAGGTGCAGCTGGACCACTTCCTGGGTTCTCGAGTGCAGTCCCGTAGTCGAGACTGTTTGAAGGGCCATATACCGTAAATGTTGGAGATCTTCTTTCTCTGGCATCTGGCAAAGGCTCCAGGACTGCCCTGCCACTTTTCTCCTCATCGTCATGTTCCCCTAGAATTCTGGGGATGAAAAATTGGCCTTGGTTAAGAGTTACTGTCTTAAAGATGTGGCTATACCCTCAATACCCTGAACCCCCTAGGAGGCTTCCTATGTAGACATCATGGGGACACAGTTTTGGGGGCAGCAGAGGGGATTATGCTGAGGCTGGCTTGCCTCCCTGGCCCCAGGAAATTGAAGCTGTGGCATGTCCCGTGTGATGCGACTCCGGCTGGACCTAGGCTCAAGGGCCCCTTACTAATAAAGCTACATGGTCCAAAGAGACTGAGAGCTGAATTCTCCCAGGAGATAGCCCCAGGAGCTAACACTGCACATCAGAGAAAGCATGGCTTGAGTTTCAGCCTGGAGGCAGGACCCAGTGGGGAACACGTAGGGGTGCTACTTGTATTCATCCACAGCTGGGAGGCTGAGGCATGCAGTTACCCCAAGGGTAACTTTCTTTACTCAGGAAGCCTGGTGTCCCTTAGCCAGGTGCTTTCCCGTTTCACTGAAACAGTCTCCAGGGCCCGGTGAGGCCACGTTAGATGGTGGAGTATATTCAGCCCTGCAGTGTGAGGTTACCAGTGGCTGAGGGGCTTAGGGAGTAAAGATGGGATCTGAGCATGGTCACATTGGATACGTGATGCCCAAATCCTGGGGTGGCAGGGGTGAGGGGGAGTCTCTGGACTGTAGCCAACTTGCAGCTGTATCCGGTCTCAGCTGCTGGGTGCCTTAAAATTAGGTTTCTATTTCTTTGATACAACACCATGACCTAAAGCAACCTGGGGAGGAAAGGGCTTCTTTCAGTTTATGGTTATAGTCCATACAGAGAAGTGAGGGTGGGAAGTGATGCAGAGGCCATGGAGATGTTTATTGCCCCAGGGATAACATCTCTCCGTGTGGATGAGCTTATATCAGTCATCGATCAGTGTACCACAGACCACTCTGGTGGGGGCTATTTTCTAAATCGAGGTTCCCTCTCCTAATTTGACTAGCAAAACACTAGCCAACACAAGGCAAGATCGTCTATGATGCTGCTTTGGGGTTTTGGAGTGGTCCAAGTGCAGTCCCAGGTACCATGCTTATGTTGGATGTTCTACTATAATGCAGCCCAAATCTTAATCACCTTGGAATGCCTCCCTCCCCCCACCTTCCAGAGAGCTGTACCTTTGGGGCTTCATAGTAGGTTTCAGCATCCAAACTGTATATCTAACTAGCAGCCATGTTGTGGTATTTTGTTTTTGGCTCTGATTATGAAGTTTAAAATAGTTTCACTCTTTTAAAAGAATGTTGACTTCAGTAAGAATCTAGGTGGCATGGGATGTGCAGGTAAGCTTCTGGAGGTTGTCGGCTTGGCCAGCCTCTCATACCAGCTGGGTGCATGGTTGTGACTTAGAGCTAGGGTCAGGGGTCTTCCCACAGCAGGCCAGCACCTTTGGGATTGAACAGAAGTGATCTCTTCTGATACCGATGTCCAGGTGTAGGTCTGAAAGGACCCACACAGTACCCTGCTGTATGACTTAAATACCCACTAGGAGCATCCTTGAACGCTTTAGGACTTGTATCCCCACCATCATAAGTGATGGTGGCTTTAAAATGGCTGCCAAGGCTTTGTGAGCCTGTGGAGCTCTTTGAAACACTGGAGACGGCCACACCTTGGTGTGCCCTGTTAGACCCTCCACTGGCTGCTCAAGACCCACATGGACCCATTCCAGGTTTCCATGCCCAGCACTGTGGCCACTCTGGCTTGAGTGTGGCTATCTGGGCTGTAGATTTTTGGAGAATATGTAGACACGTTGGGAGTGTGTTTTGGGGGATGCTATTGGGTACAGTAAGGGCTACTTACAGTATCCACTTCTGTCTTGGGCTGGGGCTGCCTCTGTATTTCCCATCCCCGCCTCCCTCTAGCATCTTGATACCCCACAGCCCTGTGCCTCTCAATCAGACAGACATATCCATGGCGACCAGCTTTCATGCCTTTCTCCATGGACACTCATGATACTTTGAACTTGAGTTATGTCTCCAGGGTAAACCTCTGAGGAGTGGCCATGTCTCTACAACATAGGAGTGCACACTTTGGGATCTGCCTGATCCCCAGTTGTCAGAAAAGGCAAAAGAGGAAGACCATTGTGTACCGCAACTTACTGCCTATCCATCTAGAGATGTTATTTCTGCTGGGGACATGGTTCTCAATGCTGTTACCTGCTTGTTATGTATGACCAGAGTTTCAGGGTCCTGTGAACATCTCAGCTGCAGCATAGAACTGTCCTAACAGTGCTGGAAAAGGTCAGGGGAGGGGATCATGACGGTCTCTGGTCAGAGATGGAAGGCTCCTTACTGGATTCTGGGGTGCATTGGCTTTAGAGCCCCCAAGGCAGAGACTAAAGGATGGATGGGTAAGTGGCTCTCACTGGAAGAAGATTCTAGCAAGGAGACAAACAGCCAGCCTGGGGAAACTGAGTCAGCTTCTGAGGTGTCTCAGAACTGTCTTCCCAAGGGCAAAAGGTATATTTATATACCATTTGGCATGCAGGCTTTGGTGAATTCAGCTTTGTGGTATTCTCAAGGTTCCCTTCCCAGCAGAGGCAAGAAGCGGGGGAAACCCAGTGGTTATCTCTGTAGCCTCCTGCTTGTGGCAGGGCTGAGTGGGGAAAGTCCCCTGGGGCCCAGGGGCTCTCTAGAGGATGATAAACGTCACCTTGAGTGTGTGTGCCTTTTGCACGGCCCATAATTAGCTTTCATGTCATTCTGCTAACATGGCTACCCCTTACTTGAGGACTCTAGCCCATGGGCCCACCTTCCATGGAGCACCCAGACCACAGGCCATGCCTCTGCAGGCCACA